AAGTTGAGTTGATGAAAACAAAAAAAAGACAAAACAAACAAACCAATCAACGAAACAAACAAAATAACTGATATTTTTAAGGCTACTTAGCCGTGACTAATTAGTAACAAAAGATAACACAGCAAAACCTTAATACGAATCCCTAAATCTTCTCTTACTTCGCTTCGTTTATGACTTCCCACGTAGCATAACGCCGTAGTCGTCGATGCGTCGTCTATGTGAGGATTTTCCTGACTCGAGCGCAATACACGACCACAATGTGCGAGGCATTCCTGAAAATAACCCTCTTCCTTTACATGAAGCCCCCTCTTCCCCCCCAACCCTTCCCCTCTGCTCTTAAAACCATACTCACCTCCCCAGAGACCCGACCCAGCGAACTTTAATGAACTTAGGAGGGGCTACTGAAGGACAAATTCTCAGAAAGGATACTCAAAATTCTGATGCTTTCAGAGTCACTGCGGATGACATGAATGATCGGAAATGAAAACTTTCCTTCCGTTAGGTCTTCACAAAAACTTTTGTATTCCTTGTACTGTTGTGAAAAGAGTAAAAGTGAAAAACGGGTTAAATTTCATTCACTTACATATTTGACATACGCAAAGAAATGTAACCAAAAGATTACTTACAATTAATCAAATCACTTCCTACCTCTTCCGAGAGTAAGTTGGCATAGTCATCTCTGATTTGGAAAAACAAGGCGAGTGTATCCAGTAATGGAACGAAGTTACTGAAATTATACAAGAAAATACTTGGATAAATGTGATTAAGACGAGTAAAGAGAAGAGTGAGTGAAGATTTATTTGAAATTATGTGGATTTGTAACATAAAAAGGTTACAATCAGCTGTCTACAATGTGTTTGTTACCATGTTTGGAAAATAGTTGGACAACATCCTGTAACAAACCATCAAACAAACAAAAAGGAACCAAACATTTCAAAACAAAAAACTAGAAAAAAGTGAACTTTAGAACTTTTAAATAAATTAAATTTTTTTCGACCAAAAATTTGAAACAGACGGCATTGGCTGCCTGAATTGAATAAGGAAGCAATTGCAATCAATAAATGTCGTGATTTTATATTCTCTAGCTGACATGGGAAATTTTACACACACTGCTTTTTTATCGCCTCTGTACTGTACTCTGAATAATGTTTCAAGAGAGCTCCCAGTATTTTATTGAGAGGTTACGTCTAAGAATTAAATATCACCTTCTATTTTCACTGAAAGATTGGATCAGCCTCACAGCCAATCTGAAAAGGCCTCCAGTCTCTAAAATCCACAACAAAGCCATTCAACAAAATATGTAGTAGACATTTTGAACAGCAACAGCAATTTCGATTAAAGAAAATCTTAACATTTCACGCCTCCAGTGAATATGCTAAGGAAAGTGACTGCAACCAGGAGCTAAAGTATGTATCAAGTCAAATGTAAGGAGTATCAGAGGGTAAATTTGGAGGATCAATAATATTTGTTATTGGCCTCATGGAAGTTCCACAGGTCAAAATAAGATTATGACTTGGTTGAAAGTGTACATCTCCTTGGAAAAAGAAATCTTTCCAGAAGCTGCATATAATTTATGTGTATATGAAAGCAATATATGCAGAAATAAACACTACTTATGTAATAAGGCCTGAAATAAAATTCAGGCCTGTACTAGATTTGAACCCATGATGTCTGTAATACCAGTGCAGTGCTCTACCAACTGAGCAAACAAGGTCATTGGGTTCAAATCCAGTACTACTTAAGTAATGTTTGTTACTGTGAAGATCTCTTTCGTATTCATTTATTAATCTGCATTTCACATTTGTTATTCTCTTATATTCACAGTCAGATATAATTTACATGACTGTAGCTCCAATGTACACAAACACTAGCACAAAGAGAGAAAATAGGGCTTAGTAGGGCTAAATCAAAAGTAGGAGACAAGTTTAAGTTTGAATGGAAGCTTACTTTTCTTGACCATTTCATGATACTCATCCTCAGATGGGCAGGTGTAACTGTCTCTCCAGTATATATCCATTCCCTGGCCTCTGTGAAGCTCTAACAGTTCCTCTGAATGAAGAAATTGTAGAAATCTATGAGCACACTTCAAATACAAAAAAAAAAAACTACAAAAAATGCCAGATAGGGAATAAATATTTATACATGTTGTTCATTCCTTTGAAAATTAGTACATTAACTCAAATTCTGACTAGCAAAACTTCCTAGACTTCTTCAATCTCATAGCCTGTTTCTCAGCCTGGTGATATATCACGATTGTGAAGAGAATTCGCACCTTAATCACTTCTACATGTGGGAGTTAGTTGGCTGAAACTGGAGCTGACAATAATTCACAGAAATAGTGGTACTGACAATACTGAGGCTAACACGTATATCAATTCCACAAGCTAAATATAATCCCCTGGTTTTGCACTATAAGATCTATAGAGGATTTATCTGTGAGTACCTGTAAATATGTTTATACAATCTGGATGGTTCAAGGACAGCACCTTCTCCAAAGCTTTGAAGTACATGTAGTTAGCACTGTTGATTGTGTGAGCCACTCCATAAATCTGGTGAGCAACTAATAAATTATCAATGAAAAGAAAAATGTGAAGATGGTTTATGCATGTATATCCATCAGACCTGCATTTCAAAGAAGCCCCTTAGGGGGGTACAAGCAAGGAAGATCCTAGTGCAACATTCTGCTGTGTGCATTTAACACTCTTTGGATCAACAGCCAGTTACACTACTATCAGTAAATGCATTGATTGTAATGAGACAATACCTGGAATTCCTCTTCGTAACTTTGAGTTATCTTCTATATCATCAATTCTGTGAAAAAAGAACATTACAATCATGGTAGTGCTACAAAGGTACTTTAGTCCTGAGAATTACTCCAGGGCATTGGATTATTTGGCAAATTATCTGTGGTTATTTGAAAACTGAACATAGGATATTGATTGGAAACATAATGATATTCAAAATAATTTTAAGCAATTATGAAGTGACTTTAGAAAAGTGTTCAAATGGACATGCCATCTGATGAAATGAATCACAATAGACCATGAGATGTGTAGCTTAAAATGGACTGGCATTCAAAATATACACAAATGATTAATTTCTAGAAGTGGCCCCAGCTATTCTTCAGTCTAATAATGATTACTCTTGTTCAGCTATATTAGTGATAAGACAACCAAATTAAGTATATTCCTATATCAGAAAGCCATCCCATGCTTGAGTATCAGCTGTAAATCATTCAATGGGGGTGCCTGCTTACTGTTCTGTATTATTTATTTTAACCCTCCAAAGAATGTATGTAGCAAAATTTGAATATTCCCTGAACTCATTTGTACATCAAGTAATCAGCTTATCAGCTTTGCTTTTAACATCTGCCTTAGCCTTTAAATAGAAAAACATTCCTAGAAAGGGCAACTTAAACTTGGGAGTAAATTTGTAAAATTATGAATTAATTAAAAGGAATAAAAAAAACACCAATAAGAAAAATAGTTGAAATTTCATTTTGTATGAGAGGAAAATGGTTCATCTTTCTTTAATTCTCCATGCAAAGCCAAATTTGAAAAGTATTTAGCCAGTCTTTTTTCAGTCAAGTGAACCAATTCTTAACTGTATGTTTCAATTCATTTACCAGCAATTTGTTGTCTATCAAATTACACTTCTAAATGTGCATAATGAATTGGGAAATACATTTTTATAATCCTTAACACTTACAATAAACTAGAATTGTGTAACATCTTTACCACCTCTGCTATCACACTAAGTTTATCTCCTGGGATCTTTAACCAAAAATTAAAAGCCTGTTGAATAACAAAAAAAGAGTGATACTTTTGAGATGACTATACAGTTAGAAAATTCCTTTCTAGGTTTCAAATAACATAAACTCCAGGGCTTCTGACTTTCAGAAAGAGATTTACTGTGCAGAATAAGGAGAATAGTCAGTGAAGATTCAGAAGAATATTCTCCACAATGAAATACAAAATAGCTCAAGCCATACTGACATCAGCTTTGAAGTGAAGTAGAAAAGAACATGTCACCTGAACCACTTCCTTGACAGGATGGAGCCATCTGCTATTACTTAAGTCACAAAACAGATGAAGAGTGGAAGAGACCTGGCAAGGCCTCATATAGTATTTAGAAAAAGCTGCAAGTGTGGGGAGCAAGCCGGTCAGAGTTTCACTTCAGTTGACCCTTTCACCCCTAGGAGTGACAAGCATATAATTTCACTTCACAATATCACCCCTCGATCACACATTCAGGTCATGAGAATATTAAGAAAATGATCACCAACTAAAGGTTCTCTTGAATGTTAGACAAATTCTCTTTTTCAGCACCCTTGGAAATGTATAGGGAGTAGCAAGGAGAATATGCATACTGATCTTCGGGTGTAAAGGGGTAAAGAAAAAGCCATGAGATAAGCAGCAGAAGTGGACTCTGGTCATTGGCCTTTTTGATCAAACAGCACTCAGAGGATTCAAGTCCAAATAGTCTTGCACAGCCAACTGATTCCAAATCACAACATAACCATTAATCAATTTTACTTCGAAAAGAAAAAATCTGTAAATGGGAAAAAAAGCCCTACAATAGCTTACCAGGAAATTCCACTGAAAAAAATCACACTCTGAGAGAACGCTCTAGATTCTCACCTGAATAAGCTTCTCCCTGACTTGTTTTCCTGGAACTTTTAGAACATAACTGTAAGGCTCTAGGAGAATCTAAGAACACAAAGGGAAACATCTGTAAAGCTTTGTTCAAATAGCGGGCACGAAGCAATCCCCAAAATAAATTTTGTTTTCTATTTAATACGAAATTCGCCATTTTAATCAAGACTTCCGCATAACTCCTGCTAAAATTGGACCCAGCCTCGTCCTAAGTAAAGTTGATCGAATTCTCGGTATACATAGAAAACCTCCTGCAAACCTAACGAGAACATTCGATGTTAATCTTTCTATATTAATACATATGCCAGGCGATTCAAAAAGGGTAATTTGTATTTTAGTAGCTACCTTTTCCTGCGTGGAGTAAGAGTCTGTTGAAGGTGAAAACATCCTAAGACACAAGAGATAACTAAAGAAAAATAAAAATATGCAACTACTTTACAATCAACTCCTATATCTAAGATACATCAGTAGCTCAAGATCTTAGCTTATCCGCCATTTTGTTCCTTGCTGGTTACCAGGTTCGCGCTTAATTGAAACCACAAGCTGCAGCCCGGTGGGACCTGGGGAGTTGTCACGCGAGGCCACACGTGAATGCCTTAGTCTCAGAGTTGGCACTGAGAGATTTTTCTTACTTTAACCAACGGGAAGTAAGATGGACGAAAGCAGAGTCGAAAGTATGATTTTAAGTAACATCAACTGTAAAATGGGAAAAATAAAAACATCTTGAGAATCGATCAGGCAAACAAATAAGAGACTCAAAAATAACAAACAGACAGGAGTCACCGCTCTTCTCCCGAGTTAAGTAGCTCATCATTGCGGGTCAAATCGTAATTATTACAACTTCCTCAAATGTGATTGGTGCGCTAACTGCTCTGGTTTTCACTAATTATTTTGTTAAGTTGTTATCGGACAGTGTAACCGGACAGTTGGCTGTAATCAGACAGTTAAAGCAGCCAATCGTACTAAGCCCACTCAGTTAAAGCCCATCAATCACAGAATCGATCACAATAACCATAGCAACAACCACCTCCCAACAAACTTTCACAGTTTCTCCTGAGAGAAATTGGGGAATTTCCAAAATGGAGGAATTTTTACTTTCACTCTGTCTCCACTGAGATATTTGCTCTAGAGGTTTTTTTTTTGGGGGGGGGGGAGGGAGCGGCGGGGGGAATTGTCATGGTTATGATTAATTGGTAACAGGATTTCGTGTCGTCCAATTCTGTCCGTAATTACACTCGTGATTACCAATTTAGACTCCCGATTCGCGGTCGTCCGATCACTTGTACGATTACAGACCGAACTCCACTCAGTCCTATTACCATTAACAATCAAAACTATGGCAACATTCTCGAACGTGATTGGCTATCACCAGCCCGATTTGAGCACTAATAGGGCAGTGTACGCATCATGCTTGTAATTAGACAGTGTAATAGGGTAGTTGAAGGGACAGCTAACACCTCAAGCCCGTGCAAGTGGAGAGGAAGCATCATGTGAGAGCCGTTGTCTCGCATTTCTCCGAGTTACCTGTTATTGCTGTTGTTGTTGTTGCTTTTTTATGTAAACGTATTACGGATGTCTAGTTTCTTTTTCAGCTCTCAGGTGTTCATCACTCGCATGATTACAGACCGAACTGGAGTCCACTTGGTCCATTACCAGTTTAGCGTATAGTCTCATAGCTTATTATAAGAGTTGTCTTCTTTCTCATTTAGATTTGCATCTACCCTTCTTTACTATTCTTAACGAAAAGTGAAGGTTAAGGTATTAAAAACGCTGTCTGGGCAAATGGCTGACACAATTGCTGAAGTTGTTTAGAATCTGCTCGTCAGCCATCCAGCAATTGTAGATATAAATGTTTCCTGCTAGCATGTCACCCTTCCTACAAACCTACCCTCCCCAATCCCACCTAAGATCCATGTACATTCCTGAAACCTATTTCTGTTAATCTTGAAAGACATTATACTAATGTTTAGAGGACAAGCAGCCGCAGTAATAACTTGTTAAAACGTCAGTGCTGTAAATCCTCTACACTCAAAAATCAGTATGCATATTCTCCATACTGTTTTCAATGCATTTCCTAAAATGCTGACAACGAGACTACGTATGACAATCAAGAGCTTCTTTAGTTGGTGATCATTTCCTTTATTCCCGTGACTTGACTGTGTGATTCAGTGGCGTTACATAATTAGATGCGAGTCACTTTTAGGAGTCAATGGGTTAACGCCTTCAATGCCTTTTCGCTTTAAAAAATTTCATCATCTTCGAGGGAAGCCGAAACTATCAAATTTGTTTTCATTAAAATTAAATTAAACTTCATTTTTTTGCTTTCTCTATATATGAAAGAAAGCACTTCATACATTGGGTGGGGGAAATAAATCGAGATTGAGAGTAGCCTGCGTTGCTGGCGGTCTGCAGTTATCGAGGCGGAGAGAAAAATGGAAAAACATTTTTCTCTACGTCCCCAAAACCGCAGACCGCCAGCAACGCAGGCTAAACTGAGAGCGTTAGGAGAAATTAAAGTATGTAAAATCGCTCCTTGAAAATATTAAAGTAAAATGATTTAGTATTTCATTTGTGTTTAAATGATAAATAGAATATTACATGGCCGCTTGGAGATACTAAATTTCTCTTCTCGTGTTAACAAAACATTTGGTTTCGCTTTCTCGTGAAATATTTTTCAACAATCGAAGAGAACTTTCGTATCTCCGCGCGGCTATGTAACATCCTCTATATCTTATCATCGTTTGGCTAAAGAGACGAATATTCCATTCTTTGGTCTGGTTATAATTTCTCCGCATGTCTGGAGTTCATCAAAGGTCTGAGTGGAGTCGAGGGTAAAATTACGCAACACGTGAGCCAAGACAAGTTTCTCCTCTTGAAGAGCGAACCGCTGACCTATAGGGGAAGGACAAAAGACAGGTTAACGGACAAAATAAGATAAGGCAGTGAAAAAAAAGAAAAACAAAACAAAACAAAAAAGACTGAACAAACTATATTTCTTTTTTCTTTGAGCTTCTGCTGTATAAATTCAAGTATCAGAAACTGGTCTCACATGTTCAGATTCTCAATACCAACGGTTTCAATACCAAGAAAAGAGTAATCTAAAAAGTCACTTTAGAATCATAAAACACCGTAACGCTTTAAGGAATAAGTAGATGATCATTTTTCCCTCTTCTCAAAACATGAGTTGGGAATACCTGTGCTACAACACGCCCCTTCAACAATAAAAACAACAACAAAAAGTCAAGGAGACAAATTGCGGAGTCAGCTCGCTGCAAGGAATCACAGAACATTTTTGTCTCTGCGACAGAATTTTGTCATTGTGATTAGTCGCGCTTTTTTCAGCTTCCATGGTGTAACAAAGGCTTTCACTCTTTCGTTTCTGCCTGCGTCGCTCTCTAAATTTAGGCTCAGGTTTAAGCTTTGCATGTATAAAACCTAACAAAACCTACCGATACAGTTCCGTGGCCCAGCAGAGAAAGGAACAAATGCATATGGATGGCGTCCTTGGCTGTTCTCAGGAAGAAAACGATCTGGGTTAAACTCGAGCGGCGCTTCCCACACCTTTGGGTTTCTGTGGAGTCCGATTGTACAAACTCCAAGAGCAGTACCTTTTGGAGCCAAGTAACCATCTGTAAGGCAAGTGGGCGTGTTTTACTTGACGTTTTTCAAACTGATTAAACCCTTCCCTAGAACTTTACAAAATAAGGATAGCACAAACACCATTGTCACGTCATCATTAAGAACACATCTATGACAATGGTATTCGTCGGTGTTCCCAACAATAACGTAAAAAAAAATAAAGCCAAATTATCTTGTTACACTCCCCTACCGACGCAGCACCACAGTTTCTTTTGAAACTTACCCACGTTATTCTCCAAATATAACAACCGACCATCAACAAACAAACAAATAAACAATAACAACACAAATATCTAAATATCGAAACGCTGAAGGAAAAACAAACCTACACAAATAAAACAAACGAACAAAAAAAAAAACAAACAAACAAACACATACCAAAATCAAACGAAAGCAAGACAGGGCACAAAAACAACAACAAAGTGAAACGAACAAGAAAACGAACCAATAGACGTTGACAGCTTATTATCTCAGGACTGCGCTGCAAACTCCTAACCAACCCTCCCATGAACGTAAATACATACCCAGGTGACAGTCTTCAGTCGTCGTCCTTGCAATGAAGGGCACAGATGGAAACATGCGCTGGGCCTCCTAAACCAAAGAGTGCAGTATTTAGATGCACTCAGTTTGTAAATCACCATATTGAGATGAGTAGATCAACATGTTGCAGTTAGGCAGCGAACGCTATCTACTTACATAGTTTAAGTATAAAATGAAAACTCCTCATAGATGGCGGGTGTAGTTGCTATTCTATCACATTCATGTAAAAAAAAAATAGGCCTCTCTAGCCTTGAAAACTTGTTTAAACCAAACTGAGCCGAACCTCAAATAACCACTTCACCACTTCACTAAGATACGTCCCCCGTCCCTACCCCTATACGTATGGTGTTAAAGTCTGAGCCACAAAAATGTAACGTGGTTACCATACCTTAACAACACATTCCAAGTAACGCAAATCCTTCAGATCCTCTACCGTGAGGGTTTCTGGCCGCTGCTCTAAAATGTTTAAATATTATAGTGGTCATTATCTAATCGTGAAGTTTGAATCACTCATGAATAAGTAAACAAAACAAGACAGGAACATAATCTGGTAATGACACACAATTTAAAAGAAAAATCAATCGAGACACAATAATACGGAACGAGCAAAGGTTTACAAACACTTTTGCGAAGCTCTTCGAGACTCTACATTAACAAAGATCGTGGCCGCGCGAACATATTGCCCCATGAAGGACTGGTAATGGGTTTGCTAATCCCAGCGTTCATTCGGACGCCAGTATTGACAAAGTCGCGTATGGTCACGGTGCATTTGAAAGAAAAATCAAGGTGGAGCATGAACAAAATTTTCTCCATTGCATGGATATCATAAGTTAATTTGCACTTTGTTGTTCTAATGTAAACAAAACGAAAACGAATCGGCTGAAACGACTGCGTGCAAAGTGCCCTTGAACATCGTAGACGAGACACTCACCGAAAAATTTATCTACTTCTTCGTGCACTTGCTGCTGTACATGAGGATGGCGGGCGAGCAGATAGAGAGCCCACGTTAGTCCAGCGGCTGTGGTATCGTGGCCCTGAAAATAACAAAGATAATCTGATTTAGCTCCAGGATTGGGTTACCAGAGTATCACTCTAACCTGCTTCCCAGAATCGCCCGAATTGTTATGAAATTCCCTGACTTAGAGTTTGCCACAAAAAATAGCTCTTGTCACTAAATAAGCCTGATAAGACTCAGATTAGGAACTTGATATTTGAATTACCACCAGCTGACTGATATACAACCGCGTTATTCAACTTGAAAAAGCAAAAGCGCCCTTTATTCAAGTCTCAGAACGATCGCAGTTGGAGACAGGACAAGGGATGGATAATGACCTTAAACTACACCATCACTGACATTAACCCTCATTCGCTAAGAGTATAAATGGGTACTGGAAAAATGTAAAGACAAATTGACAAACTGCATGGGGAAGCAGATGGGTAAATAGCCTACGTGTAGCCGTACCCTCCCCCCACCACGGTGAAACGGAGGCGAGGCACCATCGGGGGATGGTAAGGTTACACCTAGGCTAATGGGTGCAGTGTTACTTGATGGTTCCTTAATATTGCACTGCGCATTTTGGACTGCGCAAAACATCACATAATTAGGCGTGATTGGTAACATTGCCGGACATGGCGTCTTTTCTTGCCGGCAAGCTCACTGGACGTAAAAAGGCGCGTAGGTCGATCATCCGCGCCGAAACTAGACGTTCACAGAACACTTGAGAGAAGTTGTGAATGAATCATAACTCCTTGCAAACATGTACCCAATCAATGTACGAAGGAAACAGTTAAGCAATTATAACAGATATAAGTGGGGAACATTCAAAGAAAGTTTCAGAAACATCGTTCCAAAACCTTTATTTCTGAGGAATCGCCTTAGCTACAACTGGGTGGACGTACAGCGGACAAGGATTATTCGAGTATGAACTTCGACAAAATACCAACTTCCTCTGAAAACTTGTTTTAAAGCGACACTAACCTCAAACATGAAAGTATCCACTTCTTCTCTGATGCCCTCTCGTGATATCTCTCCTTTATCGTAGGCCTCCAGTAACAAATCAAGGAAAGCTAAACGCCTCTTCCTTTTAAATTCACCTTCCTCTCCCTGCTCGGTGTCATTTCCTTCGGTTTGTAGATCATTTTTTTTGGCTGCTCTGTCGGCGATTCGCTCATCGATGACCTGGTGGTTTTGTGTCGTTACCAAAGAGACACCACCGTTAAAATCGGAAGAAGACGCCTTAAAGAGCTTCACTAACTGTCTTTTTGTTACGAAAACTTTCGTGGCCCGATTGTGAAATTTCTTTGTTTTCTTTCAATTGTTTTTTGACCTTGTTTTCAACTTCTCATTTACTGTTTTCGTTGTTTATGTTTTGTTTTGTTTGTTTTTTCCCTTACGAATCAGATAAGAAGCAGTTAGAGGACTATGTCCATCTTGAAAAACAAAACTACGTTAACATAATTAACTAAAGCTTTCAGCTTAGGAGAAAATTTTTACACATTGGAATTCGCACCTTGTTGGTAAAACCATGAAGAATCTTAAGACAATGATTGTGTTCCCTCCCTGATGGCGTCAAAAAGTAAACAATGTCAGGCCAGAGCCATGGAGACCTCTGTCGCTTCTGAATCAACTCAGTTATCCTAGAATTAATTCATTGGTTTAATATCAAACATCTTTTTCTCTACAGTGGAGGCTAAGAAGTTAGATCTCTCATGCTTCACTCTAACATGGGAAAAAAAGGCAAATAGCAATCCTTGATCAAAAGCAACATGAAACAAAGTTTTCAAGCTTCACTTTAACATTGTGAAAAAAAGACAGATAACGATTTAAGATCAAAAGGAAAGGCAACATGAAACAATGTTTACAGTGCAAAGAAATTCTCCACAAGTTTGACTATAACAGAGCATCTAAGAAAAAAAAATTGAGCATCCTTTTTTGGACTGCCAGGGTTTGAACATGAAATCTAATGAAATAAATATTTCTCAAAGGCAAAATTTGGCAATGTAGATAATTTGAGGACGACATTCTTCGGGACACCAGTATTTCATGCGGGGATATTTTTGTGGGAAAAGTTTTCACTGAAAATAATGGTTGAAAAGTTTGCTTTGCTAAGGTATTACAGTATAACAATCTTCCATAACAATTCCCCATCGTCAATTACTACTCACTGGACTAAATTCGTCTTCATTTGAGTTAGAAACATGCAGTTACCTTCCAACTGCCTTGACATATGGAGAATTGGTATCTCCCTGTGCATTTGGTGAGGAGTCCATGGAGGTAACTGTTAAAAGCGAAGTAAGAGAGGATTTCAAATCATCATGTGAGTGCTTGAAAACAAAATTAATCTTGACCAGAGTCAGGTTGAAAGCAATGGACAAATTACAGGTCCACAGAGATACATACATGTGCATGTACTACATGTATGTATACATCATAAATTATGAACTGAGACTATTGACTTTTCACTTATTGCAACTTGTGACTTATTGTGATTTGTGATTCATTGTGGCTTGTGTCATAATATTATGTAAATTGTGACACATTAAATTGGCTACAAGATTGTCCATGTTCAGATTCTCTCACCCTTTAACCCTTAAAAGTGAAAAGAATCTTGTTTCTTGTAACAATATCACTGCTGACTCAAACATCAAAGCCATGGAAATATAGTTATGAATGTCATCAGAGTGAACTCTGACTGTCAACCAAATTCTTCTTGTCAGTGACATGGGAGCTGTTTAGAGAACAGTATGGAGAATATGCATACTGATGCTTACGTGTAGAGGGTTAAGTTTATCAATAGGAAATGAAACTGGTGCAATTTACGGTGAATTTGTCACAAAATTGATTTAGTAGAAACATTTTTAGTGCAGATTTCAATTGAGTCTGGATTGGATTGGTTTTGCTTTTCTTTAGTCTGTAATTGGTCCAGGAAACTTGCCCCATCCTGTCTCTGCACAAATCAGATGCAAAACTTAAACCAGTCACAATTTGGTCACCCATGTTTTCCAGTGCTTAGGGCTTTTTATCTTTTGACTTTTAGTTGGCTCTATGAAGTGTTTTAGTTTCTTCAGATTAGCTGCTGTGATCACATTATGTTGGTTTTGCTTTATTATGATACTTAATCAAAAAGAGCTCTATTGAGATTGAGTTTCCTTGATATACATTTGTACAGATGTAAAACAGTAGCAACAAGTATCTCTGAGCAGTACTGAGTAGGAATAGGACTAGGGGTTACACTGAGATGTGCTAGCAGAGACATACATCTGCTGTTGGAGAAAAGAAGGAATATAATCAAATGCAAGAAAAATAATGAACATCATCACATTGTGACTGAATAGTGCAGAGTACTTACTGCATATAATATCCAGAGCACACAGAGTAATGTATGGCATTATGTTGAAAGTTCCTGTCTTGACCTTTTTCTACACAGTTTTATAAGAAAGAAACAACATGTCTCAATCAATCATTTTGTCTTTTCTACTTCCCTTGCATCTTCTGAGAGGATATTTTTATGTGTCATTATAAAAAGCACTATGATTATTGTGTTTTATTCTCATTTAATTAGCATTAACTGCATTGTGTATGCTTGCATGTTTGAAAACCTGTCAACTATCTACAGTAATCAGTGTAATGTGGATTTTTTCAAACTGTTACCTCAAGGTTTGAGACCAGTATTTTTGATTGTTCTTCAAAAACTTGTAAGAAGGTATTCAAAATGCTGAAGTGAAATGTTGGAGTGATCAACCTTCGTCTTGTCTTCCATTTTGATCCATCACTGAAATATAATAACAGGTTCAAGCACATGCAAGATATTTCATTTAGTAAATGAAAGGAATTAAATAAATGTAAAATATTCTTTCCCTTTCTCCTTTTCATCAATGGAATGACAAGAGGGGACTTATCCATTCAATTTTCAAAAGGTAGCAAGCCATTACACAGGGTTTAATTGAAACTTTTTGCTGTTGTTTTGTTTTTAAGCAGAAAACATGTTTTGGGGTTTATAGAAATTTAATGGTATGGAGGAAAACTGTCTTTGAAGCTTAAAATCAAATTAAACCAAAATTCTTCATGGACCATGCATAACATGTACATTTACATAGATGTTTTAATTAACTCTTTAACTTCCAAGATATCATTAGTATTTCTCCTTACTATCTGCTGTACAATTCTGATGTCAATTTGGAGAATTTGGTATTGGATCAACTAATAATCCCCTAACTGATATTTTACTTTATTCTCATCTCTTCTATGCTTGATATTGTATTGATATTGTAAGGAGAAATTCTCTCTAAGTCATTTATGGGAGGTAAAGGGCTAACATCATGTAGTTTAAAGTAAAACAACCCAGCCCAGGCTTCTGCATATGGCTATCACCTAAACTCTTCTACCATTTCATAGTAAGTTGGTGTGTAAAATGTACCCTACCTGGTCAGCAGGCCTTGGTAAATACAACATCAATGATCCATAATAAATCACAACATTTATGTAAAAGAAAAGAAGAGAAAATGAGATAACACTGATAAACATCTGCCAAGACAAGGACAAAGACAAAGATCGCAGCACTTCCTGTTTATTTTATGTCTAGACTTTCAGAGTATAAAATGCAAGAACTAGAAAGTGGCTCTGGACTGTAACATGACCATGGTCAAGAAGATGTGTATCTAAGAGTGCTCCTGCACTTTTAATCATCATGGTAGAATCTTGGTGTAGTCATCAGAAACTTTTCACACTTGTCTCACTGACAAATTTCCAATATGCATGTGAAAGTCAAGTGAAAAGCTAAGTATTAGGAAAACATATGAAAAAATATACAATCCCTTTCATGAAGTATTTCCACATGCTTCTAAATTAGTTCATGAAGCCTATATGCAAAGAATGAGCCTTTGAGGCGATTTGTGACCAAACTGACCAAGACAAGAGGTTTAAAGTGAGGCCAGCTTTGACAGAGTACCCAACAGAGAATCATACAATGTTCAACCAAATCAGTGATGTAAAATGTAATCTGAAATTTAAATTGTTTAAACTGACCTGTTCCTAACCAAGGATGTAAAAAGTCATAATCTGCAGACTTGCTGATATGTTTGGAACTATGCAAAACAACCTAAAAAGTAAGGCAGTACTGTAAATATAAAAACAAAACCAAATAAATTAAGAAAGCAGTTAAGATCAGACAAGTAATTTGGTTTTATCAACTGAGTTGAGTTTCTAAGGCTGATATTTCAAGCATTAGCTGGTTATCAGAGCAAAAGAGATTTTGCAGAACATTAATCAATCACACACAGTAAATCCTGGGGAGCCACCACTATTTGACCACCCTTTATTTCTGAGACAAATTTTTTCAAGCTGCAGTTGGGATACGACATGTACAAGGATAATATCACCTGAATTATTAAAAACTACTCAGATCACAAAGTATGGCATGTTTCTCGTGTCTTTCTGAACCCAAAACATTTTCCTCTACGAATCAACAGATAAACAAGAAAAAAGTACCTGGTGAAAAATTTTTGGCACAAAAACATGGCCTAATTATCCTTCAGATCAATGGCGTTAAGGCTGCAACCTCCTTGGTTGCATGGCAGAAATCACTAACTAGGCAATCTGTGTTTTTGGTGATCATATAGCTACACCTGTCCTGTAGCTCTACCATTTTATCTTAAAGGCAGTATTCCTGTTATGGTCTTTAGCGAGAGTGAGAAAAATGTGTGCATAGCATTAATCATTTACACTCTGTTGTTTCCTTCTCATAAAAACTTGCCTCTTTCTCTTCAGTTTTTTTTTTTTTGCAAAAAAAGTCACATTACCCTTCCAAAAAAAAAATGCCATAATACTACATTTACATAATATTGCAAAAACATTGTTTTCTGCATTTTTGTTTTGTGTGGTTTATATTATTTCCTTTCTTTTACATGAGTATGTTACAAGAAATAAAATATATCAAAAACTCACTAACCTCCACCAGTTCAGGTTTGTACAAGAAGATAAAAGGGTATGTTGGCCCAAGCCACAGACAAAACATCCCATTATGATACTCGTACACCCACTGTAATATCTGCGTCACAAGATCTATCAATTAAAACAAAAATTGATAAATTAAGGAGTTACAGTAAGAAAACACATCTATGGTCAAATCACACTTTCTGCACGTGATCTGCACACTTCATTTTCTTGTGCATAAATATGAAAAGCTGTCCAAAATTTTTTCTCATAGATATCATTCAATAAGGTAATCATGACTTTATTCATGAAATTAAGAATTAATAAGCACTTGCAATTTGTTTCTTAAATAGTAATTTCCTTAGCCCAAAGGGCTTGAGTAATTATATTGCTTTAAGAAAAAGATTATCTGTGTTTATTTATTCCATATTGTAAGCAACTCAAGTGATGACCTGTACTAACAGATCACGCCTGATGTGCATAAGTTGAATGTCTTTGCTAAGGCCCATGTCGCACTACAGCCCAAACTAAAAATCATGCAGCCAAAAAATTTTCGAAAAGTCGAAACCAAAAGCAGAAGTGCTGAAAAAATGTGACACCATTTTTGGGTTGCACTGCTGAAATACATAGATAGGTCAAAATAAACATGGTTGATCAGATTTCATTTGGGCATTGATAAACATGAACCCAGATCAGGCCTTTTACTTTGCTTTTGCCATTCTACTTCAGTCTATAAATTATCAACATGCAACAGTAACAAATGTTTGCCTTTTTCACCCTGTATTAGAGATGGGTAAATGAATACATGTAAATCCTGGATGTTGCTTTTCTAAGAAGACGGTGGCATTTACATAGAATTTGTGTGGATCATTCCTTGCCCAGCCCAATCATGGTTTGATATTCATTACAACAACCTGACCCATAGGCTTACTACAGCCCTTCATTCTTCTTGTGGCCATTTATTATATTGTGTTTTCTGCTCTTCAGCTCAGCTATTGATCATCTTTTTCTCGCCAACCTTCAGCTGACCTAGAGTTGGTCAGGCTATTGCTGTCGCAAACCACACTTGCTGAACTATTGGATCAATTAAACAAAATTCCCCTGGGTCCTGCTTGATCAGTTCAGCCAGTGTAGGGTGAAAATAAGGAACATTTTGCATTGGGAATGATCCTGGTGCATGGTAAAGAGGAAAACGGTACATAGAAAAAGGAAAACATCAACAATTTAACTGCAGGTCATATCTAGGTCAAATGAATGGCCTTGACAGCTCCGGAAGTTGTGTCTTTTGTTTTTATTTTTATTTTTCCAAAATCTGTCTGCTCCACCATACACTTCAGTATCTCTGAAGTTTCTGCAGAACTTCCAAAATTTTAGAAATTTGTGGAACACCACTCGCATAAGGAAACGTGTTGTGATGACAGATAATGATCCTTCTTTAACGGATAATTGACAAAATCTCCCGTAGTGCGACCCGGGCCTGAGTCTAACAATTACTTGAGGCATTAATTTGCAAAAATTTCAAAATTTTTATATACAGACTCAGCATTACGCTTTAAAAACTGTAATCAAAAGTAAGATTGATGAAGAAAATTATAAATGGGCTTTTCGCAAGCAAAAAATGGTATTTTCTAGTCAACTGAGAAAGTAACTATTAGCAAATGAAGGTAACTTGACTTGTGTCGAGCGCTGCAAGGCGAGCTTGAAGTTTGTCTTTATTTTACCTTTCTATTTAGAAAATTCAAACCTTACAAATAGACTTCATCTTTTCGTATGTCTGTGGCCGCTAGGTCACAGAGGATGGAAAAATATGGCAAGAAAATAATTGGCTTTGCTTCATGAGTCATTAGCTCGTCTCACTCACCATTCGGTAGTCTTGGCAGCTGCAAAACATTGCCAAATAAAAGGTTTGTCTTTGGGCCAGGCATCTTCCTCACTGGATCTGCAGAATGATGTCTTCCAAGCAGTACCAAGGAGATCAACACAACAGCTGCCAGCAGCAAAGAAACTGCCACCACTAAAAACATGATCACTCGAAACCAAATAAATTACTAACAGCTTTGTTCTATCGATTTGTGATCTCTTTTGATCCGAAGATATATCTGAACTCCTCTCGTACACTGAGGAGTTTCCTGATTGCAACAGCAACAACGAGTTCTGTAGATTACTGTGAAAACAAAAACTTAGACCGCTATTTATAGGCCCAGGAGGTAGCGTGACCTTGAATGTCCGTAGAAGGCAAACAGGAAGAAAGATTAGTCCGCCATTTTTTTTTCATTTTTCTGCAAAGCACGCTGGGAACGACGCCGTCACAAATTTCACTCACCTTGGATGACCTACTGATTACGTTTGTCACAAACTTATTATGGTAACATTAGATTCGCTCCCTTTTTAACTATTTTATAGGAGTTTAGCTCAAGAATGGGTTACCGTACATAATCCTTCTAAAATATCTTCAATGTTTATGAAGTATTGGTCAGAAGCCTCCAGTTTAAAATGTATTTGATTTAATTGACCTTGAATGGCCCCTATCAATACTCAGATGGCGAAACACGCAATGTACTACTTTTATATTCTGCTCTGTCTAAGCAAACAAAACCAAAATCAAAACAAAAAACAAAACAGAAAAAACAAAGGGAGGTCTGACATACATCTATTGCCTTTGGGGTGTCTAAATTTTCCCATTTAGAACCATTACGTCACGCTAGAAAAAAGACACTGCACCCCTCAATACACCGAGTTTTTTTTCAAGCCACTATTTCAATTGTCATATAAAATAAAATGTCATGACTCGTGTCCTCGGGAAAATTCCCTAGTGCATCATTGATTTCCTGTTTTTCTGAGAATGTCACGTAATGGAAAAATGCTTTGACATCCATGATACCGCTAGCCTCCTATAGTATTCCAACGGCGCTTTAATATTTTAAAATGCTTCCATCAAATAATTCCATCAAATGATTTCGTCAAATAATTTCCATAATATGGAAAGTAGTATTGAGAGTTGGTGCGAGATCACTTTTTCAAAGTGGTCTCGTACCGCCATCTCCTATACTACTGAAATCCTTTCGGATGCGTTGAGCGGAAAGCCACATCAGTGTTAGTTACTTAGTTTTACGGCGCTGTTATTTCGAGCAATCTTCATGTTCCTGTGTGCATCTCGGAGGTTGTGTGGGGAGCAGACGTAACCTTTTATTTGTGTTTTTGCACATGTTCTAGTGTTGATTTCGTTGCCTTGGTTTGTTTTTCTTTGAGTTTATTTTAGTGTTTTCTTTTTGTTTGGTTGGTTTTTGTCCTTAAAAGTCGATGTAAATATTACATGGTGACCGTGCGGTTGGAATAAATAGAAAATTAAGCTCACCAAGCTTTGTGACAAGCGGAACATAAAAGGGACACATGAATAGCTCAGTCATACACGGACTAATTGATATGGAGTTTTAGTCTTCGTAGTTCAATAATGGACAGATCTATATGCAAGCATTAGGTTTGCCTCTGTCCTCTACATCATTCTATTGTCTACTGCTCAAATATCTGGGGGGCGTTACAAAGGCGTAAATATTTGTCTGAGCACAGGGAGATATCAACATAATTCAAAATGGCGTCTGTCGTCGTGGGCTGCAGGCTAAAATGATGTGGCTGGTTTTTCCTTCATTTCGCTCCATCCTTGGTCAATATACATCCTTTTAGACCTTACGAACGAAGAGCAAAAACAATCACGGTGGTTATTCCTTCTTTTTGCACCATTCTTGCTCAAAAAGGAACTTTTGTAGACCTCCCTAACGAGAAACAAACGTGCAGAAGAAGACCCAACTGGAATGAAACGGCTTCAAAGTCTTAAAATTGACCATGATGACAGTCTTAACGATAGACATGGATATGAATAAAATTTGCCGCGCCGCGTGAGCGATTTCAATTAATGTCTTCAAATTGATTTTCGCGTATCTAGTTGGCTGCCAGATGGCCATATGTTACAAATATTTAGCCGCTAGTTTACCATGTTTTAAGGCTTTGAAGATTTCATTTGATTTGACCTTTTTGAGCAATTTCATCCTTTCTTCTAGTTGATTTCGAGCATTAATACAGGTTCGACTGTTGCTCCTAGTTTTAGTGCTCTGGCTAACGCTTTTTATAATCAACTAGTCATTTTAAGGGTATGTCACGCGCTAAAATTTAAAGTTCTCACCAATTTATTGAATAATTGAGACATAACACTTTGCGATTGCATCCTCTTGGAAAACAGTTTACTCACAGTGGCCTTGAAATCAAGAAAGTCAAGAGCTTAACCTTTCTTTTCTTTAATACGCTGCTTCAACTGCAATCTTCAGGGGAAGATTTGGTACTATTCCTTGTTACATGTAAGACATAAGGACCAGCAGTTCCACGTTTCTGTACACATGTGCTTCTGTACCGTTCATGGATCTCCTCTGGAAACTGAAATATGGTATATGCTTTTACACTACATGTAGGTAGCAACATAATAGGTTTTGCTCTTGCAGTTGGAATGTTCGTCTGCGATGCAACCCATAGCTTAATTACTTCCTCCTTTTTCAATTCATTACTTGCATGTTCTGTCAACTAAAAATGGAGCAGAACGTTATTCTCATAATAATGGTAAATATTTTCATTTTAAAGGAATTAACTCTGTTGAATGTTTCCGATTGTGGTAAATTGGACAAAAATATCTTGACATGGAATTTTGAATGACACATTTATAATGTGAGAAATAATGTTTATCACAAATCAGCTGTAAATGAAGCAATGTATAAATCCTTCATACTTAAAGACCTCAGGATTTCTACGGCCAGCCTTCTCGAGCAATTAAATCCCTGTTTTTTTTGTTGTCTCTTCAGAAATTTGAAACTGCAGACTGTCTGGGTCAGGAGAATGTAGCTATAAGAAAAAACATGATTGATGTATTTTCAGTCCACACGTGTGATCGATACCTCGTAACTCGTAACAATGTTGCGTTTTTGTGTCAACGGTAACATTAATTGTACTTTTAGGAACACAGAGAAGATATTCTTTCAAATTATAAAACAGTAACTTAACAAGACCAGACGACGGTGCCTCGGTAGAAATTAAAGTTCTCCGCAAATTAGAGTTGAGTATAGGCAATTGAAAAGGAGGATTTAACGCGTCGCAAGATTCATAGAGAAACATAAAAGGATTACCTCCGTGTTTCCGTCATAGGTGTCTTCTTAGAGTACCCGTGACGTTGGTATTATGGATCTTTTGAGTGGTTTACTTGCAGCAAAGCAGATATTGAAAATGTGGCATGAGAAGGGCTTTGGATGGTGACAGACTAATTTCTGTTTTTTCAAGAACGGACGCCTTTTCTTCGCGATTTCCTTTGCATATTTAGCAAAACTTCTCGATTGCTCCATTGACACCGAATAAAAAATTGTAGCAAGCATGTCCGACATATGCTATTCTGATGTCGCACTCTTTTACATTGGTAGTATAGTAGTTGGGGGATGGAGAACAGTTCTCAAAAAACAACACGCCAACCGCCCAACGACTATTCTACTAGGAGATGTTCGATATAACCATGTCACGCCAAAATGGAATGCGCTCATGATATGGGTATAGTATATTGCGTTCATAATTTGGTTATAATATATTGAAAGAGAAAGAATTCCGAGAAAATTAAAGACAATTAGATTCCGAGAAATGCGTTCATATTTCTGGTTTTTTATTTAATATATTGGTATACATGGATTCAGAAGAAATACTGATTATATGAAAGTAGTTTTATAGCTGATAGTGAGCTAGAAGATGATGCCTTTTATTTTGGTGACCAAGATAATATAAGACATTTCAATAATGATAATATGGAAGAAGCAGAACAAGAAGTTCAAGAAATAATAGAAGAATTTAGAAAATCTTGTTACAAAAATATATCATTTAATAATATAGAATGGTTTGTGATTTTGAAATTCATGACGCATTTAGAAACTTGGGAAATGCTGTTTGTCCTTTTTTTTTATAAGCAATTACAAGAACGAGTGATGAAAAATGAACCATGTTGTGCGATGATGGAAGAAGGAAATGTTGATGGTGCGCATGATTGTAAGAATTGTGGTAAGGTTGATGGGTATGAAGTAGCAATTTAATTACTTGATTATTATAATAATCGCTGGAGGATTGTACGTAAATCAGTCTACCATAGAAAGTATCATATTGAGCGTGTTCTTCTAGATTTGAATAGTGAATTTAATATAAATGTATCTGTTGATAATAAGAATAAGATAATGAAAATTTTTCCTGAAATAGAGAGTATCATTCCTCAAATTAAAAAAAAATCGTAGGAGAATGATTAATGAAAGAATTGTTTTGAGTAAAGTGTTTAAACTTATGGGATTGCCGTATATAAAGACATTCCAGTACATAAATAAAAAAGAACAGACTTCAACCTCCCTTGAAAGGAGTACTCCTACTTGAAAGATTAAACTACACGGTCCAATGGCAGTCTTGTGTTCAAACTACTCATTGTTTAACACTAATCGTGAAAAGTGGATCATGTGAAATTCTTAAAGTCCCTGTTATACATTAATGCACATGTGTCAATAAATCGATTTTTGAATCCTTTCACTGTGCAGAATTACTTGCTTATAGCATTCAATCTGTGCCACAGTAGCGCAGATTACAAGCAGGTACCTTTTGTAGTTTGTAAATAAAGTAGGATCCGCAGTCTTTCACATTTATGTCAATTGATTTCTTGCAACAATCTCCACCTCTGGTAAAGCAGACCGCGGAGGAAACTTCACCATTTGCTAATGTGGGGTGACCACCTTTTAGCCAGCCTGATAAGACTGCACCACATCTATTATCCGGTACGCACTGGGTTGGCATTTTTGTTCCTGCATCTCCCACGAAACGATGCCACTTCCCGAATATCATGGATGAAGATTCGTCGTCACATTTTTCTTGACCGTTGGGTGTGTTGTAAGTGCTCTTTCTGTCAGCATCGCTCAGGTTTCTGTAATTATGGCACGGATCGGCTAAAAAGTTGAATTTCGGTTAATACGATGTTTTATACATTTCTTTATAAGAAGGCTTAAGGAAAAAAAAAATTATTATATAAACGGCGGTGTTTTAAAGGATTTCCCAACCTGAAAAAAGCCGAAAGAGCACGTGTATTACATTGCGATAATTTTTTACATGTGTTTGATATCGCCAATTAGCTGTGTCAGGTTAATAAATGAATGGCAAAGCGTTAACCGCTAACAATACAGGGTCGCTTATCGAGATTTTCTCAGATTATGGCCGCTAAAAGCAGAAAAAAATTTTATTTCTAACAGACCATGTTGTTCAAAATTTCCTAGAAGCGAAAGTAAAACAAATTACGAAAAACCGAAAGTTACGTACTTGACCTGGGTTAAATGAGAATAATAATAAAATGATAATGATAATAATAATAATGACGAAAGTAACACGATTCTTTTCACAATGACGTAGCCCCAAGAATCCCTCAGATCGAAAGTTTATTCCCGGTTTCTTGAGTTCTTCGGTGAGTAACATGTATGATTTATTTCAAAACTTTTCCACCCCTTGATAAAAAGGCTAGTCCGTGTAATTGCTCTTTCTAATGGCATCACTCAGGTTTTTGTATTTTTAACACGGATCGCCCACCAAATTAAATTATATTAGCAAAGAGAAATTTTCATCGTTCTTTCAATAATGATGAGCTTTAAGTTTGGAGACTTTCATAGTTTCGTCTGTTTTACGGACAATAAATTTTTTTATTACGCATATAATTTAGTCCAAAACTTTGCCAGTCAAAAAAAGAACAAATTCCCCAGCCACCTCCTCTCCCTCACCCCCAAAATAGGTTAAATTTGATTAAAGTTCGCATAGAATCAAGAGTGACAGTAATTTCTTGCGTATTAGGCGACATGGATTTATGCTTCCTTTTATCAAATATTTGTATTACCAACTCTGCGCGCTCCTTTGTAACATTAAAGACGTTCATAGTCAGGTTACGAAGCCTGAACATAACAAACTTACCTTTACATATAACACCATTCCCAATATAGGTAGGATTGCAAGAGCAGTTGTATGAGCCCTGGCTATTAACGCAAGAGGCATTAGGATGGCAGTCGTTCATTTTGACGCCATGAACCTCACTGCACTCGTCAATATCTAAAAGAGAAAGTCCTCAGTTGAGAGATGTGGCAGAGATTTGTAACGAGCAAAGAACAAGTTAAAACTGATTTATATCTAGCATCCTTCATACTTTAAGTACCAGCAATGTGATAAGCGTCCAGTGTAGAGACAATGCAAGAAAGATGGAAACTTTTTAACTCTGTACTTTTATAAAGGAATATATGTGTCAAACATTTGGCACAGCATGAACCGAAATTCTTGCAACTTTTATTCGAGAACCAAGCTTAACATCAGTTTTTCTTTTCAACATAAATGCATTTCAGCCACCAAACTTAGTTTACTTATATAGGTGCAGTTTCTAGCCTGTAAACACAGCCGCTTCTCGTATCTCATTTCAATACTGATCGACACAATGCACGATATGGAGGTCAATCCATACATAGCCACTAGATGGATCGCATTCGCAGGACTGGATTTGGCCATGGGAATAACGATTCTCCGAGTAAATGTTGTTCATTTTTGGATTTCATTCTCTACTTACCATGTCTGAAGTTGTAAATCACATTGCATCTTTTCATGTATAGAAATTTTAGAAAGGCCCTGAATATTTTTAAAAGGAGCTTTATATGATGTTAAGTCTAATCTAATATACCGTGGCATGACTGTCCGTCCCCAGTGTATCCTTCCTTACAGGTGCAGTTGTGGGAGCCGTCAGTGTTGGTACAATTCGCAGTCACGTCACAAGTATGGCTTTTATTGAGGCACTCATTGATATCTAGTAGAACAAATGATATAGATATAGAATACTTTATGGAAAGTCTGTCTGTATGGTATTTACGCACGAGCTCGTAATATCGGAAGTTGAGAGAGTGAACGCAAAAAAGGAGTAGGATTTTTGATATAAAGCACCGATTGTTTGAATACCGTATGGACAGACTTAACGTGATGTATTAGGTTTATTATCTAGTTTACATGAACATAACGAGAATTAATTCCGCTCTAATGACAATTAATCGTTAAACAGACTTAAGTCAATGGTTTACAAATCGATCACGAAAGATACAAACCACACAAATTTCCCTTCTCGATAGAAATAGTGCAGCATACCGAATCCTAGCAAAAAAAATCAAACTGATACCTGTCAATATTTGAAACAAGGCATGTTAAGCCGAGGGTACATAATCTTATCTGTCTTTAATTCGAAAAGAACGAATAAACTCCGCAAGATACATGTTTAGTTCCTCAGGCGATATTGTCTGGACTTCAATAATTGAAATAATAGAAATTTCCAATACATAAAGGAACTCTGCAAGCACATGAAGATAGAAAAATCTGGTCTGGAAAATAAAATTATTCTGCTCTATTGATTGCGCTGTTGTTGAAGGTTGAAAAGTTATGAAAAAAGTCTGGCAGTAGAAATATGTTTTTCTTGTATCTATACTATTTAAAAAAGTGAGGGAGGAGACAGGTTGGGGGGGGGGTGGGGTTATCCGGGCGTGGCCGCATATTCGAGAAAAATATTCCTAATAATAGTGGAATGATATATCTCTTATTCGATGGTAAGAGAAGAAATCTTGCTCATTGCCTTCTTTTATCCTCGTTCCTTCTAGGCTCGGAAACACTCTAAGGAACTCGTAAAATATCCGCACGTATTATATTTTAAACCGGCGAAAATTTTTTTCTATACATATTATGATATCCGTAACTTGATTGAAATACGAGGTCAGGGCGTGAAAACCATTGCGTTGCCTCTTGATCATTAGCCCAGTTACGAAGACAATACTGGTTATGGAAAGCTGCTTTGCTCGACATAAAGTATCGCAGTTCTAATCTACATTGGCAAGACTGTCCACCTCTAATGTTTCCTTCCTTACAGATGCAATTATGTGAACCATTGGTGTTGGTGCAGTTAGCATTAGCATCACAAACATCATCGTTGCATTCATTAATATCTGTGAACACAATAGATTCGCAATGGGTGACTGAATAGAGAAAAAAACTCTTCAGCCAGTTTGTTGGATAACAAGGCAATTATTTGTGATGAACAGTTATTCTGCTTTTTTGTAAAGTATAATCTAATTTTACCTTGGCACGACTCTCCTTTTCCAGTGTATCCTTCCTTACAGGTGCAGCTATGGGAGCCATTGGTGTTTGTACAATTCGCATTTACGTTACAATCATGGCTTCCATTGTTGCATTCGTCGATATCTAGAAGCATAAGTGATATACAAAAAGTATGGTTATAGAAATACGAGAGTGGTGCGTGACAACAGGTCTCTAAAATGAGGGCTAATTTCCATGGGTAATTGTTTCTGTGCAAAGCTACTTGTTTTAAATAGTGTGGGCCACTCTTATTCACCTTGACATAACTGTCCATCTCCAGTGTATCCTTCTTTGCAGGTACAAATATGAGAACCATTTGTGTTGTTACAGTTTGAATTAACATCGCAAACATGGTTGCCATCGCTACACTCATTGATATTTGAGAACAAAAATGAATTGCCAAAACGTTGCTCGACAGAAACAAACATCAGATTTCTAAGTTTTTGAGGAAATAGTTTTTTTTTTCTATTTGCTGAGTCTAATGCAGTGATTATACCTTGGCATGACTGTCCGTCCCCAGTGTATCCTTCCTTACAAGTGCAGTTGTGAGAGCCGTCAGTGTTGGTACAATTTGCAGTCACGTCACAAGCATGGCTGCCACTGAGACACTCATCGATATCTGGTAGTACAAATGATACAGATATAGAATACTTCGTGCAAAGTCTGTCTGTATGGTATTTACGCACGAGCTCGTAGTATCCGAAATCGAGAGTGTCATAATATTGGCTGGCCTCCGTTTCCGGCCAGCGGTCATCATATTAGTACCTAGGTCACCGCATATAAAATATAGGCATTGATCATTATTTACGTGTGATTTATTGTAGTGTTCTTCTTGCTCCGGAATAAAACGTGTGTGTGTCTTACAATCTACGCCTCCTGTTCTTTTAAAAAAGAACCACAACAGTGGGAGTGAACGCAGCAAACGAGAAAGATTTTTGATATAAAGCAACGATTCTTTACATACCTTACGGACAGACTTTACGTGATGTATTAGGTTTATTATATAGTTTACATGTACATAAGAAGAGTAAATTCCTCTTTTATAACAATTAATTGTCAAACAGACAATGGTTTACAAATCGATCATGAAAGATAAAAACCATATAAATTTCCTTTTTCGATAACAAGGCATGTTAAGCCTGAGGGTTCCTAATCTTCTCTGTCTTGAAAAGAGTGAATATACTCCGCAAGATACATGTTTAGTTCCTCAGGCGATATTGTCTGTAGTTCAATCATTGAAATATTAGACATTTTCAATGAGCGCTTGGGCACTTATTGCAAATTTCGGCTAAAACTTGGAGGGGGAGGGGGCACTTATTTGTAGGATGGGCACTTTGGCGATTAGTCGAAAGGGGCGCTTCTTAAGTTACCTCAGCAATGGGACATCAAAATCAAAATAAAAGATAATACCTAAAGGAACTCTGCAAGCACACGAAGATTAAAAAAATCTGAAATTGAAAGTAAAATTATTCTGCTGTACTAATTGCACTGTTGTTGAAGGTTGAAAAGTTAGGAAAAAAATGTGGCAGTAGAGACAGATTGTCCTTGTATCTATACTATTTGAAAAAGTGAAAGAGAGAAGGGTGGGGTGGGGGGGTTATCAGAGCGTAGCCGCATATTTGAGAAAAATATTCCAGGTATTGCTTAAATTATAAATCTCTTATTCGATGGTTTATCCTATAAAATGAGAAGAAATCTTGTTCATTGCTCTCAATTATCCTCGTTCCTTTCGCGCTCGGAAAAATACCAAGCAACTCGTAAAATATCCGCGTGTATATTTTAAATCTTCGAAAAATGTGAATGTATGCATATAATGAAACTCGTAACTTTATAGGAATACGAGGTCGAGGTGTGAAAATCATTACGTTGCCTCTTCATCATGAGCCTACAATACTTGTGATAGAAAGCTATTTTTCACGGCATAAAGTATCGCTGTTCTAATCGACATTGGCAAGACTGTCCATTTATAATGTATCCTTCCTTACGGATGCAATTATTAGAACCATTAGTGTTAGTACAATTAGCATTAGCATCGCAAACATGACTATCATAGTTGCATTCATCAATATCTGTGAACACAATAGATAATAATAATAAATAATAATTTATTACTTAAATAGCGCAAAATACATATGGATATGATCTAATGCGCTAAAAGATTAGATTAGATAGATTTGCAAAGAGGAACTGAACAGAGAAAAAAATCCTAGCCAATTTGTTGGATAACAAGGCAATTATTAATGATGAACAGTTATTCTTCTTTTTTCTAAGTCTAATCTAATTTTACCTTGGCATGACTCTCCTTTTCCAGAGTATCCTTCATTACAGGTGCAGCTATAGGAGCCATTAGTGTTGGTGCAATTCGCATTAACGTCACAATCATGGCTTCCATTGCTGCATTCGTCGATATCTAGAAGCATAAGTGATGTATAAGAGGTAATGTAATAGAAATACGACAGTGGTGCGTGGAAACAGGCCTCTAAAATGTGGGCTAATTTCCATGGGCAATTGTTTATGTGCAAAGCTGCTTGTTTCAATAGTGTAAGCTACTCTTTTTCACCTTGACATGACTGTCTATCTCCAGTGTATCCTTCCTTACTTTTTTTTACCTATGGGGTCCTCTAAAAACTCCTAGCGAGACGCATCCTATGTTGCTATGTGACGTCACGCCGGCAATGATGAGCTGACGTCGACAAAAACCTACTTACCCCTATCGCATAATTCTCCAGTAAAGCCAACGGTACACAGACAGCGGAAAGTTTTGACTGTAAAACCATACTGACATTTGCCATTGTTTAAACAAGGATTTGACCGGCAGGAATCCTAGATCGGTGAAATAAGAAAACAAGATGATAAACTAGAGATAAACCAGTGTCATAATGAAATAGGAAGAGAATGACCTAATTTATTTCGAATTAAAGAATACGTGAATGAAGGAATGAAAACGAATTAACAGAAACCTTACAGCAAAACAGAATGGAAGTAACAGCCTACCTCTGTTTCGCTGTATACGTACATCGCTTTAGGTTTCAATCTTTTGTTATCCGTTGAGTTATTCAGTTCACATACATATGTGTCAGCGTTGTCTTCAGTCGGCCCAAAGTTATAAGAGACGCAATCGTGGTTAAGGAAACACTGGATCTCACAAAAGTCGACATTATTTGAATTAATCGTTGCAATCGTGTGACCTTCAAGAGCCTTTTCGTTTACTTTACGCACGAATTGAATGATGCGACATGTTTCTGCAAAAACCATGAAAAGCTATGAGGTAAAATAATATTGGCTTGAAGTAGCCAGAGTCAAGGCAACGACAATGATATTGTTCTCACTAACCAGAATTACAAATGGTTACTATTTAAGTATTAGGAAACACGACGGAATGCTTGGGGTTAAACCCTGCGATGAACCGGCAATTCGTCTGAGAAGAATTAGAAATCCTTCTGGTCGCTTCATGCCAAGGAATCGGGATAAGCTTCGACAGGATGGGTTTATTGATCGTGGCTGACGCTACTTTAATTATCAATCGACTGACATTAATAAGAATTTACCGAGGCAAATCTAGAAGCATAATAGTTTTTGACCTTGCATAACCCTATTGCATCACCGTGCGTTCCGTTTGAAGAAAGTCTATTTACGTCATTGTTGTGGTACCACAAGTAACAGTTTGATAATTTTTCGCTGAAATCAGTTCTAATTTCTAAACAATCACATCATGTCAAGACGTACAAATAAGTTAAAACTATTTTACGTAGAGGTTTTATATTTCGCGAAGACGATAGTCCTGGGTATGTTTCATCGTTAAAATTCTTAAAAACATGAGAGTGATTCGAGATATTTGCGCACCAACCAATAAAGTAGTCGAAAAAATAAGTATGACTCCTCTTCGGGAGATCAGAGAAAACCCGAGAAAAGTTTTAATATTCCGTTGATATGAATCCACCAGAAAATTTGAAAAGAACTGAAACACGAAACGCTCAAGACGATAGGAAAAGACGATGAGCGCCTTACCTTCTGGTTCAGCATAGACCAAAACAACCGCAGTGCAAATGACTTGGAGCAATGGGATTAGAACCATTTTTAGAATGTCTTATGAAATAGTACGCTCGTGTAAATAATAAGGGGTTATTCAAACGACCTCTGCTTTGAATGTCTTGATTAGAAACAGTTTTTCGCGACTTCACTGAATAAGAAACCTTGTGCGTGCAGTGTCCAGTCATCGATCATTTCAACTGATGCACTACGTAGAATTTATGCTGCACAGTCATGAATAATATATGTCGAAAATTTGCTCTCTTTGGTTTTCGAGAGTCACAGTTAATTAAGTTTATTAAACACCAAAAATTGTTTTGTGGAAATTGTGGAATTTTGATTTATTTTGATTCAACACCATACTAGTGTAGATAATTTTAAGCGGCAAATTTTCAAGAAACGAAATAAAAGAATAAGTTGTGTAAAGTTTTAGGAAATAAGATAGCCTTGGAAGTTATCGAAGTTCATTAATATTCTATTTTTAACCAAGTTAATATCGCAACCAATCTTCATGGCAAAAGACAATACAAGCAACTGAAGAGAAGAGATCACTATGCGGGATCTCCACAAGAGACAGAGGTAGTTATTATTGTAATACGCTTCACAGAAGTATGATCAGTCCCTATTTCTGATATATTTGAATGTTGATCATCCATTCATTTTTGACCTGCTTTATTTTTTCTCCTTTGGTGGTTGATTTTTGTCTTTGTTTTTTTTTCCATGTACCCAAATATTATAATTATTTTAGAATCAAAAAATGTTTGGAAATAGAGTTTTAAAATGATCCTTTGTGGTCTTTTCATCACCACTTCCTCGTTATACCCTATTGATGGCAGCGATGTTGGGTACATTACGTTTATGAGCACATTTCTGCGTGAGAGATTCCAGCTGCCTGTTGCAAAACAAAGGCTTATTCCCCAAAGTCTCCACAGTTTCTAATTGTTACACCTAACAAAGTAATCCTTTAGAGAAAGAAAGCTTTATCTTCATTGTTATGCGATTCTGAGTACAGAAGTTAGTGATAAACATTTCTTTAAGCTTTAATAAAGCGTCCTGTTTTTCCTGATCAGTTATTTTAGGTTATTCTTTCCTTTACTCTGTTGTCAACATGTTCCTTTGAACTTCTCTCATGTATTATTTTTTAGTTTCCGAGATAAAATTTGTTCCATAACACTCCTGCAGAATCTATTACACAGGAGCTTACAAAACTCAGTGAAAAATACTTATAAATTCCGATACAGAATCAGACTGCTAACATCATAAGTTCCCGAAAGAGACCTAAAATGACAATATGGTTAACAAGTTTGCTTGATCATTCCGAAAAATTGTCCGATGAGACTCCTGGCATGAACGAAACGTCACAAGCCAACCACAAACTCAGATTTTTCGCAAGTTTGAGCGGTTATTTAAATTTTTCCTCTCGTGTTATTTTCCTGTCTTTTGTTTTTAATATTCCCGCATCTGGAATTTGTATTTTTTCCAAAATAGAAGATTTAAAGTGCTATTTAAGGGAATATTTTCATGATTGTCAGTTAATTCTCATTTATTATTAAACAAGGGAAGTTCATCCGTAGTTCAACATTCGGAGTTTTGAGAACCGGGTCTAATACAAGCTCCATATCTTTGATAATATCTTTAAAAAACTAATTCTGCAACATTTGCCCAACGTATTCTGCTACACTATTGTTACATTAAACTAAACCTTTAGCTAAATATTCAGTATTTACTATTTACAAGAATTACTGCGGGGGAAACTCATCTGGATGATTCTGTTGATAACATTAATAACTCGTCTTTCTTGTTTGCCTAAATCTAGTAATTGAGCTGCAATCCTCAAAAAAATAAGTTTGAGATATGATTTGACCAAAAAACAGTACAAAAAAACAGTAAACTACCGACGCAAAATATACACACCTCGACATCTATAGCAACGCATTAAACAACATGATCAAAGATTGACTGCCTGATTTTTTAAATTCTCCTCATTAGGAATTGAGACCAAAGTTAACACTTAAATGGACTCCGTTAGTGGTGAAGTTTTTACGTAACGTCACGTGCAAATACTTCATCGCTCTATTTTTATATTTTTTCTTCTTCTTGATATGATTATTTAATGATTGTTTTACTTTTTATATTGTGTTCATACAATGTATATTTAGTTTTTTGTACTGACTTTATAATGACGTTAAGTAAACATCGAAATGTGGTCTTTTTTATTACAACTTACACATTTTAACGGAAAACCCTTAATCAAAATTTACCCTCGACGAACTCTTTCAAGAATTCGCCGTGTATGATCCATGTAAAGAACCACAACAGGCCCAATGTTTCAGTTAAAGGTTCACCATCCCGTAATTATTTTGACAAATTTTCTTTCTGGCAGCGTGTTCATAAAAAGCCTACATTTGAAAATCGAAAATACCCTTCTCGTAGCATTATGAACAAAACAATTTGCTTCCCCCTAATTTTAGGAAATAATCCGCAAGAAAATCTTACTAGGGATATTCTCAAACTCTTGGTGGCGAATATTCGGTCAAGGAATGCGTGTTGACCCATAATTTAAACTAATAAGTTTACTACGATTTGATGAAATTTAAGGTTCCTCAACAGCGTATGTAACAGGCTAGGAACAACCGATAAATTTGTTTCAAAGCCTAATTTGCACAAGTCTATCCAGTGATGTTCAAATTCTCAAAATACTGAAACACAAGAGAGACTTATTCACCCAGCCTTCTCCTCCTTTAATTGTGCCACAATGGTTGAACGTCGAAATGCAAAACTTACACATTTGCTCTAGGATAGATGCTGTTTGTTAACCGGTTGCGTTCAAGAAGGGAGAGGAGAGCGCCCCTGGTAACTCAGTACTTAAAGGAAAGATGATAAGGAATTTCCCCTGGCTAGATTATGTGCTATAAATTATATCACTTTGGATTAAGACAGTCATTTGAGAAGTATAATCATGTGCTCTCCGCCATTTTGGACTCTAACAACCTGGATTGCTGTTTAGTAAAGTTAACTCTACCCTTTAGACGATGATCTACAATGGCAAGTTTAAAGTGGGGCCGCTCTTCCATCTTTCTTAGGAATTTTTCTTTTCTATCTATTTATCTTTAATTAGATCCTTCTGAGTTGACGTTATTGAGTCTTTATCAATGACTGAGATCAAATTACGATACCACCTCCTTCCTTCCTACCCCCTCTTCACTTAGTCTCTGTTATTTTTAGACCTTTCTGTGGTTGATCCTAGCATAATTATCAGTCAGTGCTACAATAGCGTTGGTTGCAGGATGTTCGTGACGTTAGTTGGTAAACATAGAAATATCCACAGTTTCTCACTTTAATATAAAATGGATGTTTACAACAGTCTGTACGATCCCGAAAGCAAACCGTCCTCCTGACCTTTCCCGGCATCAGCTACTGTTGGATGATAACCGTCTAGCCAACCCGTGGAGTCAGTGCCACATTTTTTGTAAGGTACACATTTGGTTGGCATCTTCGTTCCTGCATCTCCTTGGAAACGAAACCAGCCCGCACTGAGGTCGTTGTCGCAAGATTCTTTTCCCGGGGGTGTGTCGTAGGTGGTTTTCCTTGTTCCACTGGTCAGAAGTGAGTAGCTTAAACATTCTAAATAGTTATATAAAAGAAAAAAAACTATTAAGCAAAACTAAAGCTCTTTATCGTCACAATTTATAACTTTTGTGCTGCCAAACTATTTACCCTCTGGCGTGCAAATGGTTTTCCGTCGCCCTGGTAACCATCTTTACAAATACAGTTGTACGATCCAACCGTATTAAAATAGTTTGCCGATTCGCTGAGACAGTCATGGATTCCATGAGTGCACTAGTCAATATCTGTAGCACAAATTTAATAGCAGTTGTAACGTAAACATTCAGTTCAAAATTCTGTTTCTTTCTGGAGGAGCTGGGATGGCGCAGTGGTGAGAGTGCACTTTGCTATGCGATTCTGAGTACAAAAGTCAGTGATAAACATTTCTTTAAGCTTAATCAAAACGTCCTGTTTTTCCTGATCAGCCATCTTAAGTTTATTCTTTCCTTTTCCCTGTTGTCAACATGTTCCTTTAAACTTCTCTCATGTAGTATTTTTTAGTTTCCGAGATAAAATTTGTTCCATAACACTCCTGCAGAATCTACTGATTACAGAGGAGCTTACAAAACTCAGTGAAAAATACTTATAAATTGCACGGAAGTGTCTCTTTAAAAAACGTGGACTGTATTCCTTTTTAAAGGCAATGGTATTCGTAAAAAGATGTAAAATTGTAGTTTAAGAATTTGTGCGTAATTTTTGTCGAAAATAAGCCAAAGTCTGAATCATTTCAACTGAGAACATGACATACCATTTATGCTACTCATCAATAATTCAGCACTGAAATTGTTTTTTTCTATTTGAGACTGAGTTTGTAATCATCGGCAGGAAAAAGTGGGTACATTTATTTCATTTCATATCTACATACTTTGTAAGAATGTAGTCAATTTAAAACTGCACATTTTCAGAGTAGGAGGTTTGATAATACATGCCGTGCATTTCTAGAAGAAATGGAAATTATCTGATTTCATTCATATTTTACACCCAATTCAATTATTCATAGACAAGCGTTCTCACAAAAGCGAAATTAATCGATATGTGATTTGAAGAGCTTTCCTGCCTTGGGTAATGAATAAATGTTATCACAGTAAATGATCTCTGAAATAAAAATAAGTCAATATTTTCACAATAGGCTACAAAGAAGAGATTATGGTTTATCTTTAAAAATGTTTTCAGATAATATTTTTCTCTTTTTTTTAATTCATTTCCTCTTCTCATTTTCCTCAAGCATTTTCAAGTGTACCCATTTCTTCTAATTATGTTAGATTTATATGAAATTTCATGGGCATTGGCGAAAAAATGATATGAATGCTTTAATTTTTGTTTGTAAAACATTAAGTTTTTTGTCAAAATCTAATTATGCAGTGATGGTTATGCAAGACACCTCACGGACTTTCCGCACGTACGTTAGGCTCTTCACCTCAAATCTCGGGGGGTTTTAATTTTTTCCTATCGTGTTACTTTCCTGTCTTTTGTTTTAAATATTCCCCCATCTGGAATTTGTATTTTTTACAAAATAGAAAATTTAAAGTGC